CAGAAGGGATGGTGTGGGGGGAACAGGGGTACCCAATTCCCGTGGGGGTGGGGGGGGGGAAGTAGGGGTGCCCTGTGCCTGTGGGGGGGGCCTGGGGGTCCCTGGGGCCCCCCATGCCCACAGGGATGGTGTGGGGGGACTGGGGGACCCCCCTGGCTATATGGGTGGTGTGGGGGGCCCAGGGGTGCTGTGTCCTGTGTCCATCAGTGAGGCTGCAGCCCTGCGGTGCCGCGCCGTGCCTTGGTGCCGTGCTGTGCTGTGCCATGCCGTGCCACACCACCCAGGGTGAAGAACGTGCTGCTGAAGTCCAACTGCGACCACCCAGGGTGAAGAACGTGCTGCTGAAGTCCAACTGCGTCCTGGAGGCCTTCGGCAACGCCAAGACCAACCGCAACGACAACTCCAGCCGCTTCGGCAAGTACATGGACATCAACTTCGACTTCAAGGGCGACCCCACCGGCGGCCACATCCACAACTACCTCCTGGAGAAGGTGCGGGTGGTGCCGCGGGCGGGCACGGCCGGGTGGGTGCTGGTCCCACGTGGGCACCGCCTGGCACCCACCCCCTGCTCCCTCTTCCAGTCCCGAGTCCTCCAGCAGCAGCCAGGAGAGAGGAACTTCCACGCCTTCTACCAGGTGAGCCAGGGGGTGGGATGGGATGGGATGGATGGGATCTACAGGATGAGATGGGGATGGGGTGGATGGGATGAGAAGGTTGGGATGGGATGGATGGGATCTATGGGATGAGATGGGGATGGGATGGATGAAATGGGATGGGACGGATGGGATCTATGGGATGAGATGGGGATGGGATGGATGAAATGGGATGGGACGGATGGGATCTATGGGATGAGATGGGGATGGGATGGATGAAATGGGATGGGACGGATGGGATCTATGGGATGAGATGGGGATGGGATGGATGGGATGAGAAGGTTGGGATGGGATGGATGGGATCTGTGGGATGAGATGGGGATGGGATGGATGGGATCTGTGGGACGAGATGATGGGATGGATGGGATTGATGGGATGGTTGGGATGAGAAGGATGAGATGGATGGGGTGGGGGTGGGATGGGTTAGATGGGACAGATGGGATGGATGGGACAGATGGGATAAATGGGATGGCGATGGATGGGACAGGATGAGATAGGACGGGTCAGGACGGATGGGGTGGGATGGGGGCGGACAGGACAGGATGCAACAGGGTAGGGGGACACAGAATGGCACCAGACAGGCCAGGCCAGGGGGGCGCTGGGCCGGGGGTACCAACCCCCGCACGCCGCTGCTGGCTCGCTGCACCTCTGCCCGGACCCCGGTGCCTACCGCTACACCCGGGAGGGTGGCCAGGGCAGCGTGAGTGGGGCTGGGGTGGG